GTTCTTAATTGCAATCAGTAAATGTAACTTGTAACTTTGTAACTAAGTTACAAAAAATATATTGTAACTTTGTAACTGTAACTAGTTACACTTTGGCGTCTGTAACTTGTATCGGTAACTAGTTATGTTTTTGGTAATGTAACTATATAACTGTAACTAGTTACAAATAAACTGTAACTGTTACAGCACTGAGGAAATCTAAATAGTGTAAAGGGAAATATGTATTTTTGGTTCACTGATGTGAACAAAACTCAAATTTTTTTGACCTTCAACAGGACAAGGACCTCTATGAAAGTTATTGTCAACATGCATATATATATATATATAATATATGCATATATATATATATATATATATATATATATATATATATATATATATATATATATATATATATATATATATATATATATATATATATATATATATATATATAACTATAAGAGGTTTAATTAATTTATGCATAGCTAAACGTTAGACTATTTAAGCAAGAGACGGAGATGATGTAGCGTTATTCTGAAGAAGGGGCTTGTCCCCGAAACGTAAAAATATAATTTATTTACTTTGAAGATTTATGATTTCTTGATATTTATATATATTTATATATATTTATATATATATATATATATATATATATATATATATATATATATATATATATATATATATATATATATATATATATATATATCAAGACAAACTTGAGTCTAATACTTCGTTTAAAACATTTATTCACGACAAATTTGTTTCGTATGGCAATCTACAATCCTGGACAAAAGTGTTGGGACACTCAACCTTTTCCACCCTTAAATTCTAAAGACAACGCCCCCCGTCCCCTCCCCTCCCCTCCCCTACCCCAATTCAATGTTGAAAGTTCTTACAATTTTAGTTAAGGATGCCCCCAAAATCAACATTGAACAGGGGAGAGGAGGGGGGTTCGGTTCAAAAGCATATTTTGCGTTAAATCTGCTTTCCCTGAAGAGAACAATAAAAACATGCGAAAATTTTAGGTTGTCCCAAGGACTTTTGCCCAGGATTGTCGGAATTTAGATGATAAACTAAAAATGAAATGAGGACGAAAATCTTTGCCGTTTTGACACTAGATGATCTTTTAACGAATTATATTCATATACTCGGAAAACTACCCTTGAAAAACAGGTAACTGATAGGGCTACCGTTGTTAAATATTTTTAAATAATAATTTTTAATAATACTAGGAAATATCGATCCTTACCTCATCCTTGGCATTCACATCCGCACGTTTTCCTTCGATGGCCGCCGAAATAAGAGCCGTGTTTCCATCCTACAAAAAATATACAAAGATGAAATTAAAGCCTTGATAGGCCTTATTTCAACTGTAATTTTGCAGTGACAAGCAGGTCACAATATTCCTGTAATGTTAAATGGCCAACCAATTCCCACGCAGAAGACGTTCAATCTCTTGCTTGAGCGTTACACTTGATAAAACACTAAGTTGGGACGAACACATTGAAACGATTTGCAAAAAAGTTAAGGCAGGTGTGGGAATGTTAAAACGCATCAAGCCCTACATTCCTGCAAACATGTTGCAATCAATTTATAGCGCTTTGATACAATCTTATTTCGATTACTGCTCTCCACTTTGGGATATTTGTAACACAAACACTGAAAGATAAGTTACAAAAGTTTCAAAATCGGGGAGCTAGAATAATAGCTGGTGCTAGCTATGAGATCAGGTCTGCTGGCGTTCTTCGGGCTTTTGAACTGGAAAATTTAGATTCCAGACGAGGTATGAGTAAGGCTAGAGTAAGGCAACATTATTTTAAAAACTCATTAATAATTCATGAGGAAAATACAAAAGAAATGAATGTTTAGTCAATGTTTGTAAATCGGATAAAGATTTGTCCTGATTTACATAAACTTCAGCTTTGATTTTCTCGGCTTAGACAATGTTTATTAGTCGATGGGGCTACCTGTGGTGCCCACCGACTCTAGGTTTGTCCTTTGGTAGGTTATAAGCCCATGTTACGAGTCAAGAAATATGTTATAATAATTGATTAGTATGCAAGCATAAATTAACTATATTCAAATATAGTACCATACAGATGTGATTCTATGCTTATATGATTCTATGATTCTATGATTCTACGATTCTATGTTTCCATTTTTCTATGTTTCTATTGCTTCCATGATTCTATGTTTCTGTGTTTCTATGATTCTCAGTTTCTATGATTCTATGATTCTATGATTCTACGATTCTATGTTTCCATTCTTCTATGTTTCTATTGCTTCTATGATTCTATGTTTCTGTGTTTCTATGATTCTAAGTTTCTATGATTCTATGCTTCTACGATTCTATTGTATGTTTCTATTGCTTCTATGATTCTATGTTTCTATTGCTTCTATGATTCTATGTTTCTATTGCTTCTATGATTCTATGTTTCTATTGCTTCTATGATTCTATGTTAGTATGTTTCTATGCCTCGCAGTCGCATATGTCGCACATTTCTGGCTATGCTTTTTGTTTGATTCCCTTCTCTTTACTTAGATTAAAATTTAGTCTAACATGCAAGTTGTCCATTGTTATCTAAGCCCGGAGAACCTGGAATAACTGCAAGAATGCACTCTCATTCTTCTATATTCTGTAATAAATAACACATGCACTTGCTAAGACTAAAATACCTAGAGTACGGGCATAAACATGACATTGGCACACTTGGCATTTTGTTCTTGTTCAGAGGCTAAATTTTAATCTGTACTTATGGCAAATGCGGCGCAACCCATTCTCGTACCCCGCGACCCTTGTCACGCTCTGTTGACTACGTGTAAGACGGGTTCTGGGTACGAGAATGTGACATAGTCTAGCTCCATTTGATTGGCTACCTCCACAAAAATAAAATCTAAAGGTATGATCGGGGCTAAAATGAAAATCAATTATATAAATATTGTACGAATTCCTAACATGTAACGATTGATCATATGCAGGGCTTGAAATTCGCAGTAGCCTGATATCGAGGGGTACCATATTTTAAGTTTGGGTACTGGACATCACAAACTCAGTATCCATTGGTATCTTAAACAAGTTTCTGTGACTGTCCTCCACAGATAGTATATTTTTCTGTTGTACAGTATATGAATCCTTTATATGAACATATCTTAAATTACTCATATCAAATTCATTACAATTGAAAACTCATTTTACCAGGCGAGTTGTTTGAATATTACTAGCCAAATGTGAGATACATATTTTCATGGTGGATACTAGTGCGTACCAGGCGCTATTAGGGG